TATATACACTACTAAGATATATAACCTGAAGTACAAGGTTACCTACTGAAAACGGGTTGCTAAACCGTAAAGCCTATGAAAATGGGAAATGCCGGTATAATGGATTCGTAACAGGCAAAAAGAGGCGGGATAGACCACATAGATTTTTATAAATATATATTCTTTATCAGGACTACGAGATAAGTCTAGAGACTTAACTCTTCTTAAGTTCCCGTACAGCAACCACATTTTTTGTTAAAATTGGAAACTATTTGAATTTAGTTTGAATTGTCAGGCGTTACTTTAATATTCTGATAGATGTTATTCTACCAGCTCAAGTCGTGCAATGCGGTACGAGAATAGACGGTTTGAGAGTTAATATCTTTCTTTCTTAAAACATGGTATTTAATTTCGCTGCGATTTCGAATGACGCAGAACCTGATTGTTGTCGAATCGAAATTTAATAAGCTCATGAATTTTCAAAAACCCAGATACGTCGGGATACTGGAATATTCTTGCTTGCTTGAAATACCATATGAAATATTATTTAGCGCACATGTTTCTTCTCTTTTGCATTTGCCTATTTTATTGTTGTGGTTTTTTAGTCCCATATAAATAGCTAATTTCTTTTATATTGTTATTGGCCCGCTTCCTGGTTCATTCAGCAGCTACGCAAAGAATTTGACTCGAGCACAAACACAGTTATCTGCATAAATGAGGTCATTATCTCAAGGTCGTTTTCAATTAATGTTGCGTTTCGCCATGTGCGATAAACACTTTTTATGTGGGGCATATCGAAAATACGTACGAATTTGAAAAAGTCTGTGAAAATATTATATCTATATCTATATCTGGAACTTTGTTGTGATCAACTTGAAGTTAACTTGGTATATGTTAAATCAGCTTGTGATATAATCGAACATATATTTATATAACTGTACAATTTATCTCATTAAGAAAGTAATTATTAGGGGAGCTAGAAAATGTAATATAATTTGTTGGTAGAAAACTACAGATCGGATGGGTCGCAGTGTATCTCTTAGTCGACTATAGTTTTTGTTTACTTGTTTGGTTTATGTTAGGCGAAAAATTTTTTTGTTTTTTTTTTGCACGCAACCTTGATAAACTATTTTATCTATCAGTGAAATGGGGCCAATGACAACAGCACGCCTGTGTATCCCACTTTTCTTGGGGTTAGTGTGCCAGTCTACGTGGAGGTTTGTGCTCTATTCTATTCGATTCTGTTCTGCGCTCTTCAATTTGATTCTCATCTGTTCATGGGCTATTTCCGGATGCGTAAACAAATTATCTATGCAAATAAAAATAGTGCAAAGTGCGTCGCAGTATCAATTCTGTAAAGAGTCTGTTGTGGGTGTGGTCGAAAATGATGTTGGCGGAGGAGGGGGACTTGAATATCTTTTTATCTCTATAAATAATTTGAATTTAGTATGCAATTGATATTGACGTAGAGCATGGCTGAAAACCATTCAAGGTACGGCGTCATATCTGGCTTTATGTAAGCGCCTGTCGAGAGCAGTGGAGTGAAGGGAGTGAAGGGAGGGGGTTGCTAACAGGCGGTGCTAGGGGCGAGCGGGTGTCAACAATGTCGAGGAAAACAATTAAAACTACTAAGTGCAAAGCTTTCGGCTCTATATATATATATGTACACATATGTATATTTAGATATATGTGTGGGCGAATGCGGGTGGCAAGCCGAATGACGTTGTTGACATTGTTAACTGTGACCCAGAAAGTGTGGAGTGTAATGAATAATTGTGCGACGCAATGTGCCAAAGTGCTTCAGGGAGTAAGCTGTGGCCCAGTGTTGGCAAACAATGAAACCATATTAAGCGCAGCTATTAATGGATGTGTGATAAAGATACATCTCAGCTAATATTAGAACTATTTTGAGAGCAGCCCCAATGCAAAGACTTGAGTCAAGTAAAAGTATCTTAGGTAACTGATAATTGAAGAGACATATGAGTATAAAGGGACCACTAAAGTACCGTACCCCCAATATATTATTATGGGTACTGAATTACACGCGCTTGGACGTACAGAGGGACATGACTAGACCTATTAAATATTTGTCAATTTAGTAAAAATTCAAAACCATTTCACATATTGGGTATGTTTGCAACTGATCTTGGCGAAATTATACAATGATATCCATAATTCATTCAATGAAGTTTAATTGTTAGACTCTAGCACCAGCAGGAGATATAATTTTACAATGGAATTTTGATCTTGGCTTTTATCGATCATATTAAAACTAGAATAGTTATCGATTTATGGAAATAGGCTCGAATCTGTATGTGCTCTATTCACATACGGATAGACGGATGGACGGACGAATAGATATAAGATATATACATACATTTAACAGAAGTGTTATACCCTGAAATTACTCTCCCAATAAAGAATACAAAATAAATAGCCATAAAATGTTTGAAGAAATCGTCAACTGAGACTGCATACATACAATGGAAGTGCATTTAAATAGCAATAAATCTAAATTAACAAAAATGTCTACAAAAAGAAATATGAAACAAAAAATTACCCGACAGCCAGACTGGCAAATGACCCAGAAAAAAGTCACAAAAAATTGGAAAAAAGAAACGAAATACAATAAAAGTAAAATCAAATCAAAAGTGAAATACACTGAAAAAAAAAAAAAAAAAAAAAACAGGGAAAAGTACGAAAATAACGACAAATGTATATGTGTATATGCAAATGCAAAAAGAGAAAAGCAAATACAAACATGGGGACATTCAATATATATATATGTGTGTGTGTGGAAGAGAGTGAGAGAGAGAGGGGGCACTGTGGGAGCAGGAGATGGTTTGTTGTTAACCTTGAGCCGTCGACTGATTACAAAATTGCAGCGATAACTGCCACTGACCCCAGCGTGAATAAAGCGAATAACTGAGAACAGCGCGTAAGAAACTGACGGAGAGCATGGGATGGTGGGCGGGTGGGACTGTGGGAACGGGCTGGGCAGGCACACTGCCATTGATAAGTCATCGGCGTGAAACGTCATCGTTCCGCTTTCTGGCCGCTCCCCTCATCCCCGCCAATTTATATGGAATTGGCAACCATATAAAACTGAAAAGCTTACTAAAATATAATCATCCTTAGCTTTGACTTTTCAGTTAAATGTGGTTTATAAATTTGAAAAACTTTTTCAATTTGGTGTAAATAAATTGGAAGTTGGTAAAATATATAAAATTAAGTTTCTTTCGATCTTAAGTTTAGAAAGTTTTCATAAATAAATTACAGCAGTTATATTGAAACAATCAAGATGATTATCCCAAGGACTGATAACATATGGTATTATTCAGCATATGCTGGCTTACAGTCCATAATATTTATTTTCCCACCGTTCCAGATCTAAATCGGCAAATAGAAGCTCCCAAAAAGAAAACCAGTAAATGCTGAGCTCTTCGAGTTCCATAATTAATCGTTGATTCATTTAATTACTATACTTATTACATAATGCACTAATATACCATTCAAAATGTTTGCAAACATATATAGTTTGATCGCAAATAAATCTGTAACACCTGACTGGAAGACCTGTCGAATCGCTGATTGTTCATTTTTAGCATAAGAATAGGTGGGACGTCCCAAGTGAGAGGTGCAAACATTTCGTAAAGTTTTTTATACTGCGAAGAAGCGTTATTATAAATATGTATATACGTGAATGGATATCTCTATATGTATATATATATACAAACCTTTTTCTTTTTTTTATGAACAGTACGAAAGTCTTCTTTTGTTTATCTCAACATAATTGCAGTGGGTAAAATTTCTGCAGTTTTTTTTTTTTTTTTTTTTTTTATTGAACTTTGGTGATATCCCACGTGTTCCATTTCCCCGGATATCAAAAGACGAACAGAACTGTCACAAAGATAAGTTAAATCATGCCTGAAAGAAATAAACGCGAATTGTTCTGAATAGTCTCTAGAGAATTCTTATTCGAAACATACCCTGCAATTTGGCCAATTGCTCGGTCGTCATGACAATGGGCATCATATGCTCCGTATAGTTGTTCAGCACCAACTTCGGGTCAGCTATGGGCCCCATGTAGCATTTGCGCATCTTGAGGTATTGAACCCAGACGTTTAACGATTGCTCCTGTCCGCCCACGTTGCGCAACTGACGATCGAGGTCAACCTGCCCATCGTTGAGAAAGACCTGTCGGGTCAGGTGAATATGTCGATTTGTTATATAGATATTCGAGGGCTGTTGATCCTGAACACGCTGAGCCAAGCCCTGAATCTGTTGATCCTGCAGCACAGTACGCATGAAGTTCTCACTGATCAAATGCAAATTGCAATCCCGTAGATCTCGCATCGATTGCTCCAAGCCTCCATTTTTTTCGCGTAGCGCCTGCAGCTGAGCGTCCAATTGCTTCTTATCCAGTTCGTATAGCTTGAGCGTCTTCTCCCATTCCTCGTTCAGGATGCGCATATCAGAGCTGCGCTCCTTCGATGCGATCTTCGCGCTCAAGTAGCGTTCCGACAGCTCCGTAAACTTGGACAGCGCGTAGATGCATGCGAAGATCCAAAAGAAATGTAAGTATACATCAATGGAGCTGCCCTTGCAAGTGTCCGCGAACGCATCCTGCAGTTCCTCATCTAATGTATTGTTCGTATCCATATTATAGTTCATTGTTGTGTCACGTGTGAAAGTCAGTTGTTGTTTAACATTTGGGGATTATGAACTCATGATACGGCTGCTTTGATCACAAGTTTTCTATTGCCATTTTCTCGAACTTACCCATTTGCTCTGCTTCCTCTTGGTCAGCCATCATCTGTGAGTAGTAAAAGATGGTCCATATTAAAAGGGACAGGCCCAAGCAGATTATCCAGTTTGCAAAGCCTCTCATTTCTAGAGGGGTTTCGCTCTGCTTTGTTCGGTCGTAAAAACGATTTGCTGGAATTTCTTTTGGTTTATTGGAGTTATTAGAGTTATGTAACTTTTAGAATTTTGTCTTGTGATCTACTGGCAAGGCCCACTTAAAGGCGACTTGGCATGTTTTCGAGCAGAAACAAAATAATTGAAAACCAGATATTGAAACAAATTTTGGATTATGAAAATGAGAACAATTAAGTCGTGGCTTATTTCGTTTTTAAGAAGTGTTAGAAACCTTTATCAAGAATGTGTATAGAACAGTAAACTTCTCTTAAATAAAATTAATTTATCAAAATTGTTTTCAACTACTTTTATGTATATCTATTCTGTAAATGGGAAGTTCTGTATCTTGTAAACTCTAAATTAGGAAAAATGAATATAAAAATTACTTTTCATCTCTTCTATGGATGCAATTTAAAATTGTAGGCATATTTGGGTTGCATCCAGTCTTCGGCCTGAACTCTCCCCAATATTTTTAAATTTAGAACTTCAACATAAATTGAAAATAGCTGTATATTCCGTATAGCTTCGACACTCTACCGAAAATATTTAAATGTTTCTTGATGTGAATAAGTATTATAATCGGTTGCGACCGATTGCACGACCAGTTCCATTGCGTTATTTAGCTTTGCATTAAGTCATATTCCTATAGGTTCTAAGACATTTTCCTCATTTTCTCAATATCATCATCCGCAATTTTCCTTCCACTCTTTGGATTTTTATTTATCAGTTGGGCTAATTAACGGCTTGTCGCGCTAATTTACTTCTATTTTGTAAAGTCACATTATCCCCACAGACAGACGTCATCAACTTCCTCCGCAAGTTTGGCTCTGGCGTGTCTAGCAGTTAGAATTTACAGCTCACTAGCTGGTATTAGCTAAATATAACGGAGGGCATTAGCAAACAAATAAATTAGCTTATTTGCAAATACACTGTAATTTCAATTTATAGTTTCTAAATATTAGAAAAATTTAAAATAATGAAAATATACATATGTATATTATTCTACAGTTTGAATATTTATTGTAAAACACAAGCGGAAAAAATATCAAGTAAACCAAAAACTCAAAAATTATAATAATTACTATTAATTACTATCTTTCGAGCAATTTTTATTTATTTAATTGTTTCAATTGATTTGGGAATACATATGAACAACGCATAACCTATTTATTCAAATCATAGAGTATTATAAGCATATACCACCAGAGCGTCGCCAACATGTCCCAAGTCAATTAAAATGGGACTAAAGAAGAAGAAAGAGAAGTATGAAAACAAATTTCGCACTTGTCTAAACTTTCATTGTGATAAATTTGAGCTTGAAGCTGTGATATATTTTAGCAGACAACTCGACATCACCACCAGCACCACTAGCACTGCCAGTACCACCGCATAAGCCTTTCAGTCCATTAAGAGTCCTTTGAGGACTTTTTTGGAATTTGGTATTGCTCTGTTATGATATAGTTAAATTTGATTCATTTTTTTGGGCTTTGGCTTTATAATTGCATTTGATTATGAAAAGGTTTTGTTTTAGACTCATTAACGGGATGTGTGTGAGGGTGTGTATCTGCATTGTGGTGTATGTGTGTGTGTGGTTTTTCCAGCGCTTTGTTGATTTAATTAGGTAAAAACTCTGCGCCATACAAAAACGCCAAAATGAGTAATAACCGCAGTCGACAAGTCGTTCATTGAACTGGCGGGCGCAACTAAATGAGTGTGAATCTGAGCACACTTATATATTTGTATTTATTCACGCACAGACACACACACATTCATACAGGTTCTGCCTGAGATACGGTTGTCAGTTTTCGGTATACCTATACAGATATCCATATAAATGCATATATGCACAATACTCTGGTTTTTATATGTATTTCGGAGAATATTTGCATACTCTTAAGCACAACAAAAAGGAGTAATACGTGAAGAAGCTCTAGTCGTGCCTAGGGTGCCCAACAAAAAGTTCCCCCAAAACCTTCCGACTTGCAGTTTGCAATAAACTCCATAGCATAAAGATATCAAATAATCAAAGCCCAACATCGCAGGACCTGTGGACAGAGACTCTACCAGCACCGCCATGTTATGTTTGTACTTTCAATCGTTCTACGCACCTTCTTCAGCACATCTGCACCATCATAGGTGCGTGATCTACAAAATCTAAATATGAGAAAAGACATTTATGATCGATTTGATTTGGGCCTGCAACCAAAATACAGTACAAATTAAAGTTGCATAAAATATACATTGAACTAAATGCAACATTTTCAGACTTTAAAGTAAATGCAAAGGTTTTTAATCGATAATATTAAAGCGAGAATAGCTATTGATTTTTTCAACAAACTGGATATGCGCGTGGAAGAGGTAGAGACTTTTTACAATTTTATAGTTTCTAGTTCGTATGGGATCTTCTGACGGAGAAGTAATTCTTATTATTCTTATTATGAATATATATACCTTTTGAGGGACTTGGCACTCCATTTTTACGAGTCGCCAACATTTTCACAAAACATTTCTACCCTGATTTACCGGTTTAAATGTAAAGTCAAAAGAAAAACTCTTAAAGTCAGTGGAGAGGGGGTGCAGTAGCTTAACTGTCTCTATCTTTAAAACATCGAACGCAAAAAGATATAGATTTCTTCGGCTTTTTGCTCTCCAAGCTTTTGGTATCAATCAATAGAAACATTCGGTCACTCTAGTACACTCTGGGACCCAAGCTTTAGATCATGTCAACTATGTCGGGAATGGAGGGACTTTTCACAATTTTATAGTATATATCTCTTAAGGGCTCCGAGATTGGTACCCTCAGACGGTTAGCTCTGATTTGGAATGCTCTTCAATTGTGCATTCATTGATCATAGGAATCTCTAGCCTCTAGCCTCTAGCTTAAAATTGAAGCCAAAACTGAATTTTTCGAGCGTTGGATCGGACAGAGAAAAATCACTATCTTTATACACAATTTAAATTTATTAAGGTTCATTTACCTATATAGAGTATATTTATTTTGAGGCGCGTATTTGCTTATTAAGGAGCGCACAAATTGAATGCGTTCGAGCTGGAACTTCAACTTGTGCAGCTGCTTAAATATTTGTGGTATTTAAAAATAATTTACATGCAGCACAGCAATCGGATGGGGAGTAGCGAATGACAAGTGGGCGGTGCTGGCGTTGGATGATGGGCGTGGCACGTGGTTAATGCGACACAGATTGCGTGTGGCATGTGCAGGCAAGTGCGGTGCTGTTTCAGTTGCCCTTGCCGCACAGAATCTACTCCTCCCTACCCCCTCCTCCGCCACCCCCTCGCGCTCCATAGTCAAGCGAAACTGCGTCGCCATTTTGACCAGCAAAGCAAAAAGGGCCTTGAGCCAAGCCAGAGGGCGTGCAAGGAGAGGGTAGTGGCAGGGCTAGGTGGGCGGGGGACAGCGCGTGTTGCTGCGTGTCCCAACAGCAGATCCTGTAATCCAATGCCAGTCCCAACAGGGCTCAACTGTCAAAGGATGTGCAAACACACGAGTCTGTCTGTCTGTCTGCAGCCTGCAGCGAATGCATTTAAAATGAGAGCTGCAACAAGTGGCACAGGTGGCGCAGGTGATATATGTATGCTCTGCTGTCGATAACAGTGTGGAGGTGCCACGCCCACCATGTTCGTGGCTTCGTTTGCCGTCCGTTTCCACCCAAATCAAACTCAGACCGAGCAGGAGCTTTATTACCCCTGTCAAGGTGGTTCGTGCCCTATAGGAAACTGCAGAATAATTCATTTGAATATTGAGTCCTTTTGAGAATGGCATTAAATTATTTACTAACTAGTAAGAAAGCTCTAGTCGAGGAGTCTCCAGATTCTCGGAACCCTTCTAGCAATGGATATTTCAACTTAATCGCAATTTTGTTTATTTAACGATATGTTAAAATGCCCGCAAATGAATATACGTATATGTTCACTTATATAGGAAAACTCTTGGCGATACTGCGTATGGCTTTTTCTAATTGCCCAATAATTTTGAGGAAGTATTCAAATAATGAGCATGCGTATTCTTGAGATTTTACAAAAAATGACAACTCATTCACATATTGGCTGTATTTGCATTCGACCTTTAATTTAATGAATTATTAGATGGTAGAAAGACCTATCACCAATATATTAATGTATTCTCGAAAATCCCTTTTTTAGATGCTTTGCTTACGCCCCTGCCCAGAACATATTTAGTGTACTTAGCTATGTGGCTGAATGGATATTATTATTATTATGTTATCTTCTGCCTTTTTTGTGGACAGCTCGTCGAGTGTCGTCTCGTTGAGTGTAGCAATTTTCAATTTGTATTTGCATTTTGCATTTAACTCGGCGCTTTGACATGAAAAACGTGCACGAATAATGAAGTTTTCAGACAGAGGGAGAAAGGTATAGAGATACGAAGTGAGAGCGGGAGAGAGAGGCAGAAATAACATGAGTGGGAGAGGCAGAGAGGGAAAATATCATAGAGAGAGACAGAGTATGAAAGTGAGAGAGAAGAAAAGAGAGAGAGAAAAGAAAGAGAATAAGTGACAGGGAAGAGAAAGAAAGGGGGGAGAGAAAGAGAGTATGTAAGCGGGAGCGAGAGAGAGAGAGATTGGGAGAGAGGTAAAACATATACAGAAACAACGAGAGAGAGAGAGAGAGAGAGAGAGAGAGAGAGAGAAAGGGAGAGTGTGATAGAGAGAGAAGGACAGAGAGAGAGGGAAAGAGAGACGATAAAAAGAGACAACGAGAGACATAGAGAAGTAGAGAGAGAGACAGGGAAACAGTGAACATAAAAAAGTGAGTGGGACAACGAAAGAGCGAGAAAGACACATCACTATAGTCTATATATAAATATATATACGTATGTCTTAAAGAAGAAATGTAAGGAGCTTCGATTACCGCGAAGAATCCATCGAATCGAATAATCGATAGGGGTAGCTGATAAGAGAAAATATTATTACGGGTGCTTTAAGTCTTACATCTATATTATAAAGATCTACATCTATATAGAAACATGTTCAATATAACTAAAAATATCTTTGAATCACGGTTAACTAATCACATTCTCTATCTTTGTTCTTTGCAGGTGAGTTGCCGCAGTTGAGCTGTCGCATTTGAGTAAGTGTGTGCATAGATAAAGTAAGATATGTAAGACAAGATAGTTTAAGTTAAGCTCCATGTGGAACCCATATTGAAACTCGACCAACCTAGTGCTGCTACTCTGCACTTCTCTGTGGCGCGTTGTTCTGGCTGCAGCAATCAGAAGACAGCCATAAAAAGACATGAAAATAAATTGCGCTGATAAAAAGCAATTGAAATGTCAATATGCAATAAAAGAAAATAAAAAAAAAAAACAAGCCGAAGCAGAGGGAGTCGGCAGGGGGGTTGGGGTGGCGAAGGCAGAAGGCAAAAGCCAACATAAAATTTATTTAAGTGAAAAATGCACGCACATAAAAATTGGAATTTGAAATAAGCGAAACAAAACGAAACGAAACGAAACAAAGTGAATCGAAGCGACAAACAAAGTTTCCTAACTGGCGGTCAATTGCAGTTGACCCCACCGACTATGCCGAACCCCCTAAAACCCGACCCGCGCCCCCGCTCTAAAATATTTCACTGATAACCGAACGACAAATGCATTTGCAGTTGGCGCTGTCAATGACAAAAGTCCAATTACCGTTTATGGCGTTATCGTTGATATATTTGGTATAGCTTCCAATATGCTAATGGAAAATGTAGGGAAAGCTGTAAAGTTAAACTTAAAGAGTACCTAGGCAGTTTACCTATTACAGTCCTCAGATCCCCTTATCGCCATCGATATTTGCCTATCCTTATCCATTCATCAACACATCCGATAAGTAAAATGTACTAAACCTCTTTCTATATGACTTATCGATAATTATATATTTGATAAATTTGTCTACATATAAATTTGTCTACATCTGTGTTAAGCTAACAGATAATTCTTATATGTACGACTTACTGAATGCCGTATTAAATTATCGATCAAAGTTAATCGATTAATTTAGCTATTGTGCACAATTGATATGTAGAGATCGAATGCTTTGCTGTAATGGATACCCATCTTGCTATATGTATGAGCCTTTAATGAATTAGCGATAATTTGCCGATTAATGGATTTATTGAAATATGTATCTGTACTTTGCTAAACGATAGTTCCTATAAGCGAATACTGTGCACAACTTACTGAATTAACTTTCTTAATGCATTTGTGATCGATCATAAATAATAATTTATATTTTCGATAATGCATTTATTTTCGCATTTGCTATGTGAAAAGTATAATCGATTTAGAGTAATCGATTATTTTGCATTTGATAAATTTATCTAAATATTAATCTGCACTTCGCTACAGTATACGGCTACCTATATTGATGAATCTTTTTAAATTGAATAATTTATTAATTTCGCTCATTTGATAGGTAGAACGACTTTCTCACGTGGAATCGAATTAGACTGATTTGCATTTATCATCGTAATTATTGTAGAACCCTGAACTATTCCTGCATTATGAAAGTATTTCCATGAAATGGCTTAAATAGTTTTCATAATGCCAAATGCTGCTGTTAGCGCTTCGACAACTTCTCTCTGTCCCTGTTGTTGTTGTTGTTGTCGTTGTCAATTCTTGTTGTTCATGTTGTCACTCTGCCCACAATCAGTGGCAGCCCCAGTTTGGAGGCCCTCCCCAGCCCCATGTCCCCCATCTCGCTTATTCCCTTACTGCTCGACGGCCGCTGCCTGCCTCAACTGCGAATGCCGCGCGCGCCACTGAACGACATTAAACCTGACTTTGCCATAGTGCCTCTCGCTCGCACTCAGAGACGGAGCAAAGCGAAACCCCTCCGAACAAGGCGAACCGGGCAAAGGAAAATCAACAAATTATTATGATTTTTATGTGCATGGGCTCTATGCAGTTATGAGCAAGAGAGAGAAAGAGAGCGAGAGATATAGATGGAGAGCGCCTTCTGAGCGAGCGCCCATGGATAACACAACACAACAAACACACTGACAACGCGACGCCAGCAGCGCAGCAGCAGTGAAGCTGACTGCATTGTCGGTCGCTCGTTCAGTAGATTTGTGTGTCTTCGCATAAATTTAGCAGCTTGTATGACACCGCGGCGTAGACAAGTTTTCTGCTTCTTTTCTAGCAGGCTGGGCTAGTGTGTATATATGTGTGTGTGTATTTGTTGGCAGCGACTGCGACTGAGACTGAGACTGAGACTGCGACTGTGTCTGCTACTTTGTTTCTTGCTATTTGCCGTCAGCGAACTACCCCAACAAATGGTAGCCGTGACGCCCAACACGCCCTACCAAGCACATGCAGGCACCCACTCATACTCACACTAACACTCAGACACACACACACACACACACACACAGGCACACAGGCACTCGCAGTTGCATTCACACCCAAATTGCTCCAGTGTACTACTGAACGTTTGGCAGTCGGCCAAGGCAGTGGATTCACACACACATATGCATAACCATACTCATCCAGAGAGAGAAAGAGAAAGAGAGAGAGGCGGACAGAGAGAGAGATGACGCCAGAAAGAGAGAGGGAGCGACGAGTGAGTGAGAGAGAATGCGATGTGTCCCCCTCTCCACACCGCAATTCATACTCAGCTGTCATTGTTGATATTTTGTGTTTTCATCTTGAACTTTTGTGGTTCAATGTGTCTAGCCAACCCCCAAAATGAAATACTGCTAAACGCCGAATTCACCACAGACGGCAGAGCATTTCCCCAAGCTGCAGCTCCCTCGCTCGCTAGCAGTCGCGCTCTCTCTGCCTCTGTTGCCCTTGCCGTTTGCCGGCTTTTTTCTATGCGTATGAGTAGACGCTTTCGCTCTTTGCGCTGTCGCTCTCCCTCTCTCTTCGTGTCTCTCGCTCTCTTGATGTCGTTGTTGCTGCTGCTTGCAGCGCTCTATTGCATTCTACACTTGAACTTGCCCAGCGTTAACTCAACACACACACGCATACACACACATGCATACATATATGCAGACAGACTGTGTCTGACTGTCTACAATTATCTGCTGCTCCCCTTTGCTCTCTACCTCCCCCAATCCGACCCTTCTATCGGTATCTCTGTATCTCTGTTTGTTTGCCTCTGCGCTTACTTTTTAACCACATTGTATTTGAAATGTGCAATTTCATATGTCGGCGTCGACGTCGCTGTCGCCGTTGCGTTCGTAGACTGCTTTAGTTGAGTTTTTTCCCATTGTTGTTGTTATTATTTTTGTTGTTCAGTGTTTGCGCTGTAGATCTTTGCCTTTCATCAATTACGTCTCAGCACGTCGTCGCTTTACACACGTACTTCTAGATACAGATACTCGCATTCGAATTTGTTTTCATGTTTATTTTCTCGTATTTGTATTCGAATTCGAATTGGTTCTGCGATTTACTTCAAGGCAAAGCTTGTACTTGATTTCGTAGATTTGGATTTGACCGATATCAAGTATATTTAATTTAACATGTACATTTCCAGGCAGATCATATTGCTGTACTAGTTTATTACAAATTGATTTGATTAGCTTCGACATGCACTTTTCCATTCATTTTCAAAATATTGTTATCTAGACGAATATTGGGTAAATATTTAGTAAATATATATACATACTTATTTGTAGACCTTAGTATTTTTTAATTCAGACAAATTGGATTTCTGAATGATTTTGGGACTTTTATGTCTCGAAAAATATGTGCATTTAGATAAAACCAATGAGATAAGATACGTACATATTAAGGTAGCGCCTTACGTAAAACATACCGTAAAAACCAAAGAAAACGAAAATGAGAGACAGAGAGAGGGAGAGAGAAAGAGGCGGCGAATACGACAAACTATTTGATTCTTAAATTAAATGTATTGAGAATATTCATTTAGATAACTTTCTGAAATATAAGAAATTTTCCTTTTGTGCTTTGAGATAATATTATAATATATTTTATGATCTGCAGATTTGCAAATATCTCTTGACGTACGATTGTTCGTTTCATTATTTTTAACCTATTTACACTTACTAATAAATGTTTTGGCTTGAATAACATTAATGGAACCTTATAAGTAGTTTTTTCGCTAGAGATTTATCGCTCATCAACTAAAGATTATCTCTGTATACCCAAATGCGTTTGCATAAAAGTTCTTCAGTTTCTCTGTAACGAAAGAAAAAAATATATAAAAAGCAAATTAACACTAAATTTTCCTAGCTCTCACTTGCTTGTTTACAAATTTCCATTTCCATTCATTTCCATGCATAGTATGTAAATAGTTATCTACACACACATACATAATGATATGCATACATATGTACATACAATATAATGCAAGTGCATTTGTACTAGAAAATTCCAACGTCTCCGCTGCAACGAACAACTTCCCAACTTCGGGTTTGCCCTTGTCTCTGGCGGCTGTCAGCGTCTGGCAATGTTCGTACTAATCGTTTTTGTGCCACTGTGCGAACACATTTCGAATGTACGTGTGAATTTGCACTTGTGCACCCGACGACGACGCCACCATACAGCAGCAGCAGCAGCAGCAGCAGCAGCAGCAGAGCTAACAGACACAAACACAAACACTCACAGACGAACATACACACACTCACACACAGGAAAATCCACGAAAATAAAAAGAAAACAGAAACTAAAAGGAGGCAAATATAAAGGAAAGCGATGATGGCACTCGCACGCACACAAACGCAGACACGCCTCATGGTTTTGAGTGTGGGTGTACACCGAATGGAGGGGGAAAGAGCGCGGCCTGTGTGAGTAGTGTGTGTGAGCGTCTATTTATGGCTGTGTGTGTACATGCCGGAGAGGCAATGTAAAGAGCAGTGTGCGATTGCATCGGTATTTTCATTCAAGCCACTCGTTACTGCGCGTGTTGGTGTGTGTGCAAGAGCGTAAAATATTTATGCGTGTGTGCACTGCGCTTCACATTTAACTTTAGCGCTGATTCCGTTTTCGACTTCTAGTGAGCGCACGTCAGAGCGAACGGTGCTCTGGTGTGGGTTGCTGTCGACGTCGCGGCGTACGCTCTTACTCTCGCTCTCCCTCTCTCTCTTGCAGTGTCGGTGGTGGGTTTCGTGGTGAGTTTGCCGTACTTCATCATTTCCAATTTAACAGAGCAATAACATTTAGTATTTGTTTGGACTTTACATTTAGTATTTGTTTGGACTTTGTCGTTAACGGTTCGTTCTCCCGTTCGCTCGTTCGCTCGTTGTGTTTTTTTGCGGTTTGCTTTTGAATAAAAAATAAAAAATAAATAAAATAATTGATTAAATAAAAAAATATTATTAATGAAGCATAACGGTTGAACCGAAACTCTTAAATATAACACGCGTTGAAACAAAGTAGTAAATCAAATTTATGCTGTACAAAACAAAACAAAATAAATACAAATTGTTAAACACAAGTGCAATTGAAAAAAAATATATTTAGATAAAACAAAGTGCAAATGCATTGTAGCTGAAAAAAGAAAACAGTCTGACGTGCAACAGTTTTATATATTTATACATATATATATGTATATGAATTGAAAATCTGCCTCTAATAGCCGCTGCATGCGGCATGCTTTAAAATAGCAACAAGCCAAAATAAAAAGAAAATAAAAATAAAATAGAATAGAAAAAGGAATATACAGAAAAACAACAACAACAACAGCAATGAGACAAAATGTGTAAATAAAAACGCACATGAATCTAAACATTTTACAGTGAAAGCAAACACACCACCACAGCACACAAACGGAGAGAGGGACACACACACTCACACTCAGAGACGCACACACACACCTACAACAAGAACTATCAAACATCAACAACAGCCGCAGCGGCAGCGCCGCAACGTTTATCATACAGCGACGTCGGCTGCGCTACGTAATCAACCCAAAGAAGAGAAGAGAAGGGGAGCCAAACGCAACAAATAGGAAGAGCAACAGCGGCGTGTTAAACGGCGACTGCGACTTCGACGGCGACGGCGACGACGACGTCAGACTAGCGTCTGCAGTTTGTCTGTCTGCATTGTCTGGCATGTCCTGGCGTCTACAGCGCGCACCCACTACGGCTGTACGACTGACTGACTGACTGAGTGAATGCCTGATCGATTGACTGATTGATTGATTGGTTGACTAACTGCCCGACTGAGTGTCGCAGTTGAAACAGTTGCCAAAAGTGCCCCAAAGCAAATAAAAATACGAAATGAAATTAAGTGAAGTGAAATACGAGCGTAAAGTGTACAGTGCATAAAATCTATAAGAATTATAGTGCAAAGAGTGCGAAAGAAACACAACAACAGCAATTGCAAAGAAAAAAAGGAAAATATTAAATAAATAAATATCCWACTCTCTGTGCTTAATCTATACCTTTGTAAATGGATAACGATTTGTATGGATTAGTAGCCGATTACACGCGTTTCATAGATGCTAACGGTAAGTTGGAAGGAATCAAAGAACGATGAAATTCGAACTGTTTGTGCGTGCGAACTCGTTGCAAAGAAAATTGGAAGAGTTGAAAAGAAAAACTGAGAATATCGTATGGTGAAAAATACAAATTAAAAAAAATGAAAACGGAAAAATTCGAGTTTCTTTTAATTTAATTTTGAGTTTATATTAAATCCAAAATGTTGTTTATTTGATTACCATATAGAAAGGAAAATACAGAAGCTCTTTAATATTAATAATAATATATATTCATCTATAAAGAATATAGAGATTTAGATATACATCTATAAAAAGATATAGAGTGCTCAGGAATAGACTTGCATAAACAGAAACTCCGAAATACATTACAAGTTATAGGGAATACACCGATATAGATATAAGAAGAGATATGATCATGTTATAGGAATATGCTTTAGATTCAGTATAACAAGTTATTGGGAATTCACAGAGATATACGTAGATATAGATAGATGTCTGCCTGGAATAGTTAAGTATTCATCCGTCTCCCCTCTCTTTGGCTGTCCCGCCCACCCATGAATTGTGGATGGATGTATCTGAATGTGAATTAGGCTGTCATCTGCTCGACACTTGTTTATTTATTTTTTATGCGAATTTGATTATTTACATTTGACCTGTCAACCATTCAATCAGACACAGATTGAGATTGAGTTTGAGATACACGCGATGCGCTTGAGAAAACAAGCTACGCATTTCCTTTGCGTCCGGCCCAGAAAAGAACAGAAGAAGAAGAAAAAAGAAAATTTGCTCAAAAACTTGGTCAAGTGAAAAATAAGAACCAGCGTGAAGCCATTTCTATGCCAAGATACACACGCAGCACAGCACAGCACAGCACAGCACAGCACAGCACATCACATCACAGCGCAGATACATTTGTATCTGCAGATACTTTTGCTGTAGGCACGCAGAAGATACACATGTTTCTGGCCATAAATTGGTAATACATTAATTATTGTCATGACAACTGACAGACGGCCAATTAAAGCGCATTTGCTGAAATGTAAATTTATACACACACACATACACACACACTTGAGATACATTTGGATATATGTATGTACAGAGAAGTGGATTTTTGAGCACTTGGCACATGTAATTGGCATCGAACAACCGAATTATACAAATAAATTGTGCTGCTTATTGACTTTTCAAGTGGCGAGCCCATTCTTCTTCTTCTATTCATTCTGATTTTGTGTGTGTGTGTGTGTGTGTTGCCTTGGCTAACTTTGCTGAGAGGCCCAAAGTGATTATCCACCAAGTGGATTGGAATTAGGCAAATTCGCCTGATTTGTAACGTGAGCCGATTTGAAATATTCAAACTTCGATTTTATTTTTATAGGAGAAATCCTGGAGCTTGCTGGGTTAAGGAAAAGTGGAATTTTATTCTGCTGAATGGTCAGTGAAGATGGTCTTGATTTGATCTTGAGCCAATTCAAATTTATTTAAAAAATACTCCAACTGGGACAACTTCAATTTTAGCTGAGTCCAATTGAGAATTTTAAGCGAAATACTCTTGAACAACTTTTGCGTGAGTTGAATCGACATTTGTCAGTTATACGGTTTACAATCCCTAGAAATCGACATAAGATTGTTAAGTCAACACATAAACAAACTAACGAAAGAAAAAAAAAAGAAGAGAAGAGTTTTATAATTCCCAGAGTTCTTACACTCATACCCATCGAATTCTCAGTCTCCAAAAAGCGAATTCTTAGTTTTTATATAGACTAGAACTAAAATTAATAAAGTTAATAAATCTATAATCTGTATAGATAATAATCCTTATGAATCGTAATGAATTTAATTTTTTTGTAAACCAATTATATTTTATCCTAAAGAGAGAGACAAGAGAACAAACTACTATCTAGGAACCCTTCGCTCTATCTATCTGCTATATGCAAATTGATATGCTTGTCACAGCCAGCAAAAGTTTATACACTCATTATTATATAAGCAACAAATTTTGAAATCAACTTTTGCTGATTGGTGTTAGCTCTTGACTCTGGTTCGTGGTAATATATATAGATTATATACAGCAATTAATATCTATATATACCCACACATATATGTTTATGTTTAACTTGTTGTTGCGGCTGCTTCTTCTGTCCATCCGCAATGACGATGTAATATGATTCAACCTGGAGAGCACGCGTATCAAACGTCACAAGCAACAACAACAACAATAACAACAACAACGACAACAACAACAACTACAGAAATGAAAGGCATTGGCGACCTATCAATAATACCACAAGCTCTGCAGGACACCACAGCCAAATGAAGTAAATGCTGATGATGACGTTCGTGATGACGATGGCAATGGCCATGATGATGCTGATAATGATGATGATGAACGCGATTCCGCACTAATTGTTTTGGGCGGCTTTGCGCGTGTCGCTACTTTTTGTTGTTGTTGTTATTATTGTTGTTGCTGTTTTGCCAACAATGTTTTGCGTCTCTTCGCAGTGGCCTCTATTTCGATGTCAAATACACTTGAAGAAAAGTATACAACTAATTGCATTACGGCCTTCAAATAGAGTAAATAAATGTGGGATCTATGTGGACAGCCTGTTTAAATTAATCCCTGCATTTCAGATCTGCTGAAAATGTGATAATAGCTCATTTATTTCATGTGAACGAGCTATCAGACATTTCGATTTATGCGCCTTCGATTTCATGCCCAAATAAGGGGAGGGAACCGGAACTCTGAAGTAAAGCTCGCATAACACGTGAGCGAAGTATTTATTATTTATTTTATTATTAACTTTGTTTATCCTTTCGTCAGGTGCAGCTTTTTATTTAGTTAAAGTGTCGTTTTTTTTCCATTTGCAACAGAAAAATTGAGAAGAATGTGCCCGCCTGGTCTAGCATTGCCTAATTCCAGGCGCCTAACGAGCCAGAAAGCCACATTAACCAACTCGCATTAGTTGGGACTGGGCGCAATTAATTTGGCTGTCGCAGCTAGAAGAGGCGCCCCCTCTGGACTCGCCTGCCCGCTGAAAAAGATCCACTTTCAGGGTCTGCTGGCAACCTGTCTCTCTTTTCTATTTTCTATTTTCTATTTTCTTCTGCCTTTGCAGCTATAAAAAAAGTTACTTTGCCTCGTTGCTGTTTGTTTTATGGTACATTAAAGTTGGCTAAATGGCAAATTTTAATGCCATTTTATGCAAATACATATATGTATATATATATATATATGGATATATACATACTATACATATGAACGCGCGCTCATGTATCTATATGTATATCAATTTAAATATGTGATTCGCTCTAGGCGCACATTCCAAAGTGTTTCATGTTTCGTGCTTCGCTCTGAGCTCTTCACATGCATTGTCAAGCTTCTGGTTTTAATGGGCCCGCCTTCCGATTGTGCTGCACACACATACGCACTTCTGCGCCTCTATCAACTCATCTATGAGTTGGTTGTCTACGATTATCATAAGTATTTGCCGAGTGTTCATGTGTGTGTGTGTGCCTAATGTGTGGGCTTGCTCAACGGACCGATCCCTTGGGCAGTTAGTGTCTTTATGTTCTTGCGCATTTCCATGCCCAAAGACGACTTGCTATAAGTGCTACGGCAACTGCCTGTTGGCTGGGCAGTCAAATATTGTTTTATTCATACTTGCTATAAACTGTATAGCAAGATTCATTGCCAGTTTTAGCGCCAGATGTTGGTTATTTCATACTTACTATACAATTTATAGCAAGATTCATTGACAACTTTGGCAGAAGATTCTTTTTTAAGCGCCAAATGTTGATTATTTTATACGAGCTATATAATTTATAGCAAGATTCATTAGCAGTTTGAATTATTTCATAGTTGCTATACAAAGCTATAGCAAGATTCATCGAAAGTTTCAGCAGATAATATATTTAAGGCGCCGCCAAAATACAATGGATGACAAATTTGAGCTATATAAAAGTCGCTATAAACATTATAGCACATAAACTCAATGACTTTCGATTATCACTGTTACTATAAGTTTAATGTAAATAAAGCTGCGATTGATGACAAAGT